AACTCATCCTATAAATAGTTACACATTAGGAGAAATTTCTGTACTCGTTGTAATTCAACACAATGACAGCATCCACTAGAACATGAGGCAGTCATTTGTTCGTAAGTCTAACCTACCCAAGCAGTATATATTTAAGAATTGGAGAACTACGGGAGGCGTACTTACCTCCCCAAAGACCAATAATTTACTATCTAGTTGACAAACAGGCATTTACAATATACAAACATTTACCATTTAATTTTCTCAGTGTTGGAAGAAAATTAGGCATATGATATCATGGGAAAACAGGGAAAAGAGATATCTGATTCATATTCAGAGGGGGACTTACCAGGAGTACTTCACACGGGATAATACATGAACTAAGTTCTGTAAGATGAATAGACATTTGCCAGACCGAGGGAGATGGAGATTTAAGGTGGGAGAATGTATTGGATACCAGCTATATTGTTGAAAGCCCCAGAGAAAATCGAGCATGGAACATTAGAAGAAATAGAAGTTGTGGGTGGGAGTGGAAGGGGAGTGCCAAGTGATGAAGCTATAAAAGAACGCAAAAGCTAGATTATGAAGAGTTTTATGTATCATGCTAAGAAATGTTCACCTTATTGGAAATGCATGGAAGGCCCATTGACTTTTTGGAGAGAACCAGATTTGTATTTGCAGTATGGAGAATCAATTGGAAGGGGCAGAACTGGTGTAATGGTGATAAGGGTCTGCACTAATATACAGGCAGTAGGGATGGAGAAAAATGGACAAATTTGAGATATTTTGAAGAAGTAGACTCAACGGGGATTACTGATCAACAGAGGTAATCTATATGGTGGAAACAACATAGCCTTTGGAATTAGCTAGACCTAGATTCAAATCTCAACTCTGTTTTGTGACCTTAGGCATTTTACTGCGTATTTCTTAGAAATTTAGTTTCCTCTTCATAATATTGGGACAGTAATACTCAGCCCATAGATATGTGAGGAGTAAGTGCAATGGTATATGTAAAGCATCCAGTAAAGCACCTTGCCATATAGTAGGTATAAAATAATAGCTGCTGTTGTTGTGGGGGATGAAAGAGATGGAGGGGAGTCAAGAATGATTTCCAGGTTTCCAACTTGGACAATGAGAAAGAGCTAGTTTAGGAGAGTGGGGTTTAGGGTTACCTCTTTGATTCTCAAGTTGCTGGTGAGAAAACTGGATGGAGTTGTCCCCTGACAACTAACAACAAGTACTTATGAGAGCTGTTTGAGCAGGCGGTATAGATTTGGGAGCTGTCAGCTTACACATGGTAGTAAAAGTTATGAAAGTGGATGATATCCAGAGAGAGGGTTGGACTGAGAAGAGAAGTCAGAACCCTGGAGAGCAGCTAGGAATAGCCTAGGGAGAGAAACCTGGAAAGGTCAAAGAAAGAGGAACACCAGTGATGAGTAGTATCAGTGAAGTACAGGAAGAGAGACTTGAGAGTGGGACTAGCAGCTCCAGGTGTTCCAGAGAGGTAAGGAAAGATCAAGGGGAAGAAGTATCTTTGGGTTTAGCAACAAAGAAATTGTAAGTTACTTCTGTCATGATTTTACAGTGATAGGATGCATACCTAGTTTCAGCGGTATGAGAAGAGAATGAGAGATGAGTAAAGACAACCAGTAGAGAGAATTCTTGTAAGAAGTATGATTAAAGTGTATGTTTAAATACTGATGAGAAAGAGCTAATAAAGACGAAGGGGTTTCTAAGGATGTAGGGAGTTAGCTCAGAGAGTCAAATTTTAAGGAGGATGGAGTACTCAATGATATCAAATGTAGCAGATCAGTGCTGTCATGATGAATGAGAAAATATCCTTTGGATTTGGCCATTGGGAGGAAGTCTGTGAGCAGGGAGCTAAGTCCTTCTGGTGCAGGATGAGTACTTTGAGTGCCAACCTTCGGCCAGAGGGGGAATGATGGAAAGTTATTGAGCATGGAAGTGATATGAGAAAGGAGGTAAGAGGCCATTTAGTCTGGTAGAAGCATGAAGTTACAGGGGCCTAGCCCAGGGTGAAGGTCTTATATATATTCTGAAGCACCTGTATAACTCGGCAATAACTGGATATAATGAGTAAAGAAGTAGCCTAAAAGATGACTCGAAGGTTTTGAGTGTGAATAATGAGAGCGGCAGAAGCATTTCCAGAAACAGGGACATTAGTCAAAGCAAGATTTGAAGATGAGTTCATTTCTAAACCTTCATTTAGTTATTCAGCCTATATTATTAAGTGCCTATTGTGTATTGGGCATTGTTGCAGATGCTTGAGATATAGCAGTGAGCATAACAGGCAAGAGCCCTACTCTTGTGGCCCTTACATTCAGATGTGAGGCCAAGACAGAAAGAAGTAACAAATGAACAAGGTAATTTAAGATAAATAAGGGAATAAAACTAGATGATAATATAAAGATGGACTAAGGGAAACCACTCATGCGGTCAGGAATGACATTTCTAAAGAGGAGACATCAGAATATTACTAGTCATCTATGCAAAGATCTGGGTACAAATTCTGTTGCCTAGACTGAAGAGTATGTGCAGAAGCCCTAAGAAAGGAATCATCTTGATTTGTTTGAGGGCCAGAAGAAAGCCCAGTAGGTCAGGAGCAGAGTGAGCAAGGGAGAGGCTTAATACAAGATGAAGTCAGAGAGATGGGTAGGGGTAAACTTCAGCAGGGCCTTGGAGGCCCTAGTAAGGAGTTTGGTGGTTTATTCTCACTTGGTAGCAGTGGAGATGAAGGAAAAGTAGTATTGGCCCAGCACTGAACTTGAGCTGACTGTGAGACATCGAGGTGAAAAACTGAGAGTTATCAGGCTTAAATTCATAAATTTTAAATATGATTTCCTTATCATTGTTCATAAAATAATTTGCTGAGTTATTTAGGCATTGAACAAATAAATCTTCGCAATCTGGAGGCTTGTGAAACCAGCCTATCAAGGAAATGGACAGGGAAACAGGGTAATGCCCAGCCAGCAATCAGGGATCTGTAGCAGTTCTTTGACCTAATGAAGGGTATCTTGAATATCATTGCAACCTGAAAGGAGTGACCAACTGTTATATGAACAGTAGCTGGAAGAATTATGACCAGATACCTCTCATGACTTCAGGGGATTTAAAGAATACTTGCCAACTTAAAATACCTGTATTTCCAGAAGGACTATGCTGTAAAGACTTTACATAGTTCTGGTTCAGATTGAGTTCCCATTTGCAGAAATGCATTTCTTATGGTGAACAAGGGTATATGTGTATCACTGTACTTCTAGGTGCACAAAGCCGTTTGTATAGTTTGCCTAGCCAAGGGATCTGCTTCTGTTGAATATGTAAAACTTACATTTACTGAAGAACTGTAGTGTGCAAGGCTATGTACCTGAAACATACATGGAGGCGTAATAACTATATTTTACAATTATATAGAAAGTCAGTTTGTGCTTTAAAAACAACTTTGTGAGGCAGATAAACAGTTACTGTTGAGTTGATTCTGACTCATGGCAAACACATGCATATCAGAGTAGAACTGCACTCCACAGGGTTTTCAGTGGCTGATTTTGGGGAGATAGATCTCCAGGCCTTTCTTCCAAGGCACCTCTGGGTGGATTCAAACCTCCACCCTTCTGGTTAGCAGCCAAGTGCATTAACTGCACTACTCAGGGATTCTTGAGGTAGATAGGGAACAGGAATTCAGTTGAGTCAGCATTATTATTTTAAAGATAAACCGAGGTCTCCAAGTGCCTTGTCACAGACTTCATTTGCATTGCTTTTCCTATCACATCTTGCTAATTCAAAGGTGAACAAAAATTTGGACTTCAGTAGAAGAGATACAGTATATAGTCTTACTAAAACAATGGCAAAACACATCGTATATTTATTTGTCTTATAGTTATGGGTGCTACCGAAGGTTTCAGAGTGCTCTGAGTACACGTAGAAAGGTGAGGTTTACTTTGGTTGGGAGAGTCAGAGCTTTAATTTTGTTTAGAAAATGTGTGCTGTTTTCTTACTTGGTAATTTTTATTATTTTTTGTTGTTACTCCATACGTTTAAAGTACTGCATATGCAGCTTTACAGTAAGTCCTTTTGTTTTGTTTCTGCTAGCATATTTTTTTCTTGTATTGCTACCTAACTCTGTGAGGTGGGAGTATTCTTTCATAATTCTGTCTTTTTCTTTTCTGTCCATTCACATGTTTACTATTCTTATACTTGATGGGGAGAAAGTAGAATCATGTTTAAAAAAAGGGTAATTTATAAGGCATCTCCCGGTGTCTTTCAGGATGAAGTTAAGCCATATTTAGATAGATATGTTTTTTTGTCATATTATGTATTATTTATCATATTTTTCCATAATTAAAAAAGCCAAGCTGGTATATGTACTAATCTGAGACGTAAAGCCTAAGATGCATAGCATGAGTGAAGAAAGCGATAATATACTAAATGTCTATTTTATGATTATAGTGACTGTGTAATAATCATGGGTGGTTTTACATTTAAATAAAACATTTCATGTATACTAGAAAAATAACTCATCAATGAAGAGGTATTTGTGTAATTTAAACTACTTAGGAATGAGAAATGACCATATTTTCTCAGAATGAATATGTTGCTTACTGTGGAAATAGTAATAATGCTTTGTATTTATATAGCATCTTTCATCTGAGGATCTCAGAGTGCTTTTCACATAATGTTCATGAATCCTCACCACACTTTGGTGAGGTAAGTAGGTGGCAAGTATTGCTATCTTCATTTTACAAATGGAGAAGTTAATCCACAAAGAGGGTTAAATGCTTTATGTATAGTCACACAAAGTAGACACAGGCAACGTAGCTACTAAAGTAAGACTGTTATATTTTAGAGAGATTGGCATAGGATAAGTCATTAACTCTTTTTGCTTTAACACATTACATACATCTTTTAGAACAAATATGTTAGCCTTAAAATGTCTACATGGACATATTTTTTATCCTTTCTTGAGGAATAGAACATATTATAATACTTTCCCCCCCCCTTTTCAGGTCAGCAGCAAGGACAGGATGGAGTAAAAGTCCAACAAGCTACTATAGCTCCTGTAACCGTAGCAGTTGGAGGAATTGCTAATGCAACAATAGGTGCTGTTAGTCCTGACCAACTCACTCAAGTGCATTTGCAGCAGGGCCAGCAAACTTCTGATCAAGAGGTGCAACCTGGCAAGAGGCTTCGAAGAGTTGCGTGCTCCTGTCCTAATTGTAGGGAAGGAGAAGGAAGGTAAATGCACTGTTATCAACTCTACCTCTCTGGAAGGCATAAAATAGTAGTTAAAACCAAGTCATTGGCTGGGTATTTTGAACACTAGGAACTCACTGGCATTATTGCCCAGAAGTTGAGTTAGACTTTAAACTACATATATTTGTTATGAAGAGGATTTAGGTGGGCTATTCTAGGAATGGGATTTGAGTGGTTCTCTGCCTTGTTCCTTACATGTTTCTTCTTACAGTTTTCTTTTTTCATTTGTTATGTAAATTTTTAAAACAATTTTATTGAGATATATTCACAACCATAATTAACCCATTTAAAGTGTAAAATTAAAATGTTTTTAATATATTCACCGAATTATGCAACCATCACCACAGTCAATTTTATAATGTTTTCAGCACCTCAAAAAGAAATCCAGTACACTTTAGCTACCAACCTTCTATCTCCTCATCTTCCTGCTAGCCCTAAGAAATGACTCATCTACTTTCTGTCTCTATAGATTTTCCTATTCTGGACATTTATTGTAAATGGAATCACATAACATGTGGTCTTTTATGTCTGGTTTCTTTCACTTAGCATAATGTTTTTAGAGTTTATCTGTGTTGTAGCATGTGTCAGGACTTCATTTCTTTTTATGGCCAAATAATATTCCATTGTATGGTTATATCATATTTTTTAATCTATCAGTTAATGGACATTTGAGTTCTTTCCACCTTTTGGCTATTATGAATAATGCTGTTGTAAACACTTATGTATAAGTTTTTGCATGGTCATATGTTTTCAGTTCTCTTGGATAGATACAGAGGAATGGACTTGCAGGATCATATGGTAAATCTGTGTTTAACTAGTAACTGCGGACTGTTTTCCAAAGTAGCTGCAACATTTTACATTCCCATTAGCAGTATATGAGGGTTCAAATTTTTCCACATTGTTACCCACACTTATTACTATCTCACTCTTTGCTTATAGTTGTCTTAGTATGCAGGAAATAGTATCACTTTGTGGTTTTGATTTGCATTTTTCTGATGGCTGATGATAGTGAGCATCTTTTTATGTGTTTATTGGCTATTTGTATATCTTTGGGGAATGTCTATTGAAATACTTAGCTTATTTTTTTAATTAAAAATTTTTTTTTACTGTGGTACAAGTGTATATAACAAAACATTTGTCAATTCAACAATTTTTTACATTCTCAATTCATTGGCATTGATTATAGTCATCATATTGTGCAACCATTATCACTCTTTTTCCAAATTGTTCCACTACTATTAACAGAAATTCATGGCCCCTAAGCAAAGACTTCCTCTATTACCCTCCCTCACACCCACAACTCACCACTAATAAGCTTTAGTCTCTATAACTTTGCGTATTTCATATAAGTGGGATCATACGGTATTTTGTCTTTTTATGACTGACTTTATTCACTCAGCGTGTTTTCAAGGTTCATCCGTGGTGTAGCATGTATTTAGGACTTCATTTCTCTTTGTGGATGAATAATATTCCATAGTATGTATATCCTGTCTTTTGCTCATCCATTCATCTGTTGATAGACCTTTGTTCATTTTTAAATTGAGTTGTTTATCTTTTTATAATTAGTTGTAAGACTGTTTCTCATCCTTTGGCTAACATCAAGTATAGTTAGTTGTAAGAGTTCTTTATATATTCTAAATACAAGTCCCTTTTCATATACATGCTTTGCAAATGTTTTCTCCCATTCTGTGGGTTGTCTTTCATTTTCTTAATAGTTTCCTTTGAAGCACAAAAGTCTTTAGGTTTGATGAAGTCTATAATTTTTTTTTTTTTTCCCTTCTTGCTCATGGTTTTCTTACCATGTCTAGGAATCCATTGCCAAATGATCATGATGATTCCCTGTTTTTTTCTGAGAGTTTTGTCATTTTTGCTCTTACATTTAGATCATTGATCCATTTTGAGTTAATTTTTGTATATAATGTAAGGTAAGGGTCCAGCTTCATTTTGTGAATGTAGCTATACAGTTTTCCTAGTACCACTTGTTGAAAAGACTCTTTTTTCTCTATTGTATGGTCTCTTGACACCCTTGTCAAAAGTCATTTAATCATAGACACATGGGTTTATCTCTGGGCTCTCAGTTTTATTCCATTAATTTGTATGTCTATCCTTATACCAGTACCAGAAAAAGAAATAAAAGGCATCCAGATTGGAAAAGATGAGGTAAAACTATCTCTATTTGTAGATAATATTATCTGTATATAGGAAACCCTAAGGGATTCAACTGGACGAATGGACATGAGGAACCCAGCGTGGAAAGGGGGAGAGTGCTGACACATTGCGGGGATTGCATCTAATGTCACAAAACAGTTTGTGTATAAATTTTTGAATGAGAAACTAATTTGTACTATAAACTTTCACCTAAAGCACAATTTAAAAAAAAAAAAAAAACTATTAGAAGTAATAAACAAGTTCATCAGAGTTACTGGATACAAGATCAATATAAAAAATCAATTGTATCTTTTATACTTAACTGTGGACAATCTGAAACAAAGAAGATTGTTTACAAAATAATCAAATACTGAGGAATAAATTTAACAAAATAAATGTGAAACAACGTTGTTAAAGAAATTAAAAATTGAAATAAATGGAAAAACACTTCATGGTCATGGATCAGAAGACTTGATATTGTTAAATGGCAATACGCCTCAAATTAATATACAGATTCAAGACAGTCTCTATCAGATTTCCAGCTGACTTCTTTGTAGAAATTGACAAGCTGATTCTAAAATTTATATGGAATAACAAGTGCCCTAGAATAGAAAAACCATCTTGAGAAAAGAAGAGCAAAGTTGAGGAGTACTTAAATTCAAAAGTTACTACAAAGCAAAAGTAATTAAGACAGTTTGGTACTGGTATAAGTGTTTTTATCATGAAACGATACTGGATTTTGTCAAATGCTTTTTCTGTGTCTATTAATATGATCATGTGGGGGTTTTATTTTGTTTTTTATTCCATTGATATGATGTATTACATTAATTGGTTTTCATATATTAAACCATCTTTGCATTGCTAGGATAAAGCCCACTTGGTCATGGCATAGATTTATTTTTATATGTTGTTGGATTCACTTTGCTTAGTATTTTACTGAGAATTTGTTTTTTAATTCATATTCATAACAGATATTCATCTGTAGTTTTCTTGTGTTGTCTTTGTAGTTTTTTGGTATCATGGCAATACTGGCTTCATAGAATGACTTGGGAAGTGTTCCTTTCTGTACTTTTTTTTGCAAGAGATTGTGAAGAATTAGTTTTAAGTCTTTAAATGTTTGGAAGAATTCACCATGAAGTCACCTGTTCTAAGTTTTTCTTTGTGGGTAAAATTTTGTTTACTAACGTAATCTCTTTGCTCCTTATAGGCGTATTCAGATTTTATATTTCTTCTTGTGTCAGTTTGATAGTTTGCCCATTTCATCAAAGTTATCTAATTTATTGTCATACAATTGGTCGTAGTATTCCTTTATAATCCTTTTGATATCCGTAAGGTCAGTAATCATATCTCCTCTTTCATTTTTGATTCTAGTAATTTGAGTCTTTTTTCTTTTTGCCTCTTTTATCATTATAAAATGTCCCTCTTTATTTCTAGTAACATTTTTTGTTTAAAGTCTGTTTTGTCTGATGTTAATATAGCCACTCCAGCCTTCTTGTGGTTGCTATTTACATTTCTTTCTCCTTTCTTTTACTTTCAGCCTGTTTGTATCTTTGAATCTAAAGTGTGTTACCTATAGACAAATATAATTGAATCTTTTTTAATCAGTCTGACAATCTCTGCCTTTTGGTTGTATTGTTTAATCCATTCACATTTGATGTTATTATTGATAGAACTGGATTTATGTGTGCCATTTACCTTTTTCTTTTCTATATATCTCATGTCTTTTTTCTTCCTATAGTCATCTTTTACTGTTTTCCTTTGCATTTAATGGATATTTTCTAGTGTAGCGTTTCAATTTCTTTCATGATTTTTTTCACTTTTTTGTTATTATTTCTTAGCAGTTGTTCTAGGGCTTACCATATACATCTTATCAAAATCAGTTTCAGGTTTATCCTAAATTCCAGTGAGATATAGAAATATTATTCCTATATGTTTCTATTCCTTTTTGCCCCTTTTTGTGGTATTATTGGTATACATATTACATCTATAAATGTTGTAAACCCAGCAATACATTGTTATAATTATAACTTTACATAATTTTATGTATTTTTTAAAAGCTGAGAGAAGAAATGACAGCATATATACCGTATTTTTATGCAAATAAGTTGAGCCTTTTACGTTTGTTTGCCAACTGCTCCCTCCTCCTGCGAGGTATTTTCATAAACGCTGCTATGCCAATTTTTTTTACATGTTGCTGAAAAAAACATAAGCATAGTACGCTTACAAAGATACCTTGCCGGGGTGGGGAGTGGTTAGCAAGCAATGTAGAAGGTGCATGTTATTTGCATTAAAATATGGTATATATGTGTATATATATAGAGAGAGAGAGAAAGCTTTTGTTGTATTAACCTTATTTACCACTTTTGGTTCTCTTCATTTGTTCCTGTGGATTTGTGTTACCAACTGTAGTCATTTCCTTAGCCTGTTACAGCCTTGAACCCACCCATCACCTTTGTGCTGTTATTGGCAAAGATATTACATTTATATATGTTATCTGTCCAATAATGTATACGTACTGTTTTATTTAAGTGCTTTTTCAAATCAGTTAAGAGAAGAAAAATATATATATACATTTATACTGTTAGCAACAAATTCTCTCAGGTTTTATTTATCTGGGAATATCTTTATTGTGCCCTCATTTTTGAAAGATAGTTTTGCTGGATAAGGATTTCTCGGCTGGCTTTTTTTTTTTTTTTGAACTTAGTTTTTGAATACTTTTGAACACTATGAATATGTTATACCACTGCTTTTTGAGCTCCATTATTATTGATGTGAAGTCAGCTGTTAATCTCACTGGAGTTCACGTGTAATTTTGAGTCATTTTACACTTGCTGCTTTCAACATTTTTCCTTGTCTTTGGTGTTTAGGATTTTAAGTCATGTGTCTAGATGTAGATTTCTTTGCATTTATCATACTTGGAGGTTGTTGGGCATCCTAGATTTGTCAATTAATGTTATAAATAAATTTGGGAAGTTTTCAACCATTATTTCTTCAAATATTTTTTCTGCTTCTTCCCTTTCTCCTCTTTCTGGTACTCTCATTATGCATAGGTTGATTTACTTAATGATGTCTCACATTTCTCTGAGGCTCTGTTGATTTTTCTTCATTCTTCTTTCGCTGTGTTTTTAGATTGCATATACTCTGTATCTATTCACAGTTCATTCTTCGATTGAGCCCTTCTAGTGGAATTTCATTCAGTTACTATACTTTTCAACCCCAGAATTTTCATTTTCTTTTTTATAATTTCTGTATCTTTATTGATATTCTCAACATTGTCGTCATACCTTCTTTTACTTTTTAAATTACAATTTCCTTTAGTTTTTTTTTTTTAACATTTTTTAATGGTTACTTTAAGTCTTTGTTAAATCTAACATGTGGTCACTTTTTTTTCTTTTTTGTTACTGTGTTTAAGGTGAGAGTTTACACAGGAAATTAGGTTCCTATTTAACGATTTCTACACAAATTTTCAGTGACATTCTTACATCCTACACAGTGTGTCACCATTCTCATTCATTCTGTTCTGGTTGTACCACTTCCAGTATTCTAGTTGCCCTGCCACCTTAACCTTCTCATCTTTGCCCTTAGAGTAATTTTTGACCATTTGGTCTCCTATAGTTGATTTTTTTTTTTTTTTTAAAGAAGCTCATTACTCGTGGATGATATTCTTTATTTTATCATCCAGTCTGTTATTTAGCTAACAGGTGACCTCAAGGGATAATTTCAGTTCAAGGTTTAAAGTGCTGATGGGCAATAGTCTAAGGGTGTCCTGTAGTGTCAACCAGGACTTTTTAAGAATTTGAGTTCTGTTCCACGTTTTCATCCCGTTCTATAAGGATCCATCTTATATGGCGCTGATCAGAATGATTGGTAGTGGTAGCCAAGCACCATCTAGTTCTTCTATTCTCAGGGTAGATGAGGTTGTGGTTCATGTCAACTGTTAGTCCATGAGTCTTTTGTTTCCTTCTTTCTCTTGTATTCCAGACAAGTAGAGGCCAATAGTTGTATCTTAGATTGCCGCATGCAAGCTTTTAAGACCCCAGAAACTACTCACCGCGTTGGAATGTAGAGCATACACTTCATGAACTGTATATGCTAATTAACTGAGTTGTCTCATGAGATCATGGGCCTAAGTCTTCAAACCTTGAAAACCAGTCTTGCCAGGTGTTTGATTATGTCTAAGAAGTATCCGTACCTGTGTCGCCTATGTGGTTTTTTATGTATATGGATTTACATGCATGTACTCACATCCATGTATGTACATATGCCTATAGCTACTTCTGTCTGTGCATACATATGTATCCACATATTCATACTCATATACTTATTTGTATACATATTTGTGTAACCACAGCCATATTTTTTTGGTGGTTGGTGTTGTTTCCAAATTATATTTGTCATATCCTTTACCAAAGACATTCTTTTTTCTCATGCACTTTGTAGTGACCTCATTTACCTTGGTCAAGCGGTGTGCACTTCACCCATGTTTGATGCTGTATTTCCCATCACCAAAACTAACAAATGTCTAATATCTTGAGAGTCCTTTCACTTACCCTGCCCAGCTGCTGTCTCTGGTAACCATCAATGAGTGTTCGTCTGTGTATATATATCTATTCTTGTCTTCTTATAAAAGTATGATCATTCAGTATTTATCCTTTTGTGATTGACTTACTTCACTCAGCATAAAGTCCTCCAGATTCATCCACGTTATACAGTGTTTTGAGGACTTATTGTTATTCTTTATGGCTGCATGGTATTCCATTGTATATGTGTACCACATTTTATTTATCCATTCATCTGTTGATCAGCACTTAAGTTGTTTCCATGTTGTTGCTGTTGTGTGAATAATGCTGCAACGAACATAAGTGTGCATATGTCTATTCATGTGACTGGTATTAGATCTGAAGAGTATATACCTAGAAGTGAGATTGCTGGATCATAAGGTATTTCTATTTCTAGCTTTTTGAGAAAGTGCCATACCATTTTCTATAGTGGTTGTACCATGTGGTCACTTTCATAGGCAGTTTCTGTTGCCTGCTTTTTATTCCAGTGTATGAGTCATACTTTTCTATTTTTTGAATATCTCATACTTTCTTGTTGGAAACTGGACATTTTGGATAATATAGCTACTCTGGGTACTGGTTTCCCTCTACCCATCTTCCTTCCCCCCACCCCTGGCTTGTTATTATTTGGTTGTTCATTTGTTTAGTGACTGGCTGGATTATCTAATGAAATTAATTAACACATACACAGTGTGAAGCCTCTAGTGTTGCTCTTTAGGGGGGTACAACTTTAGGTATACTCACAGTCTCCCTGGAATGACAGTGGTTTGGCAGTACTCTCTTTGACAGTCTCTTTCCCTGACCACATCCAGCTCTTAAGCTGCACTAATTACTAGCTGATTGTTCTGTTGCTTTCAACAATGCACTGAGGCATACATTGCTCCACAGATTAAATCAATCAAATTGCTCCACAAACTAATCCAATAAAATTCAGGCTCTTTTTAAGGGATAATTTCTGAAGTCAGTGTTTGAGATTGGTTCTGATCCTAGGCTGGGCTCCTCACAGTTGTCAGTCTCTGGATTTCTCCAGCCAGCTAGGCAGCTTATAGTTTAGCCTATCACTCCAGTGAATCTATCAGTCTCTTCCTAATTGCCTTTTACCACAGTACCCACTGTTGTGGAGAGAGCCTTTAGGTTTGCACTTCCCCATACTCTGATGCAAATAAAGTCGGTTCCTTTGGGAAGAGATTTGGATCTCTCTGTTTTATGGCCTGCTTCTGCCCCTAGGCAAAATCTCTGAGCATGGTTTTGGAGCTGGGGATTGGGATAATGATGCATTTCTCTGAGTGACACCTAGTTTTAGTGCTTGGTGGAGAGAGGAAGGCAGATGCCTCAGGTGCTCTTGGCTTGCCTCTCCTGGCTTGGAAGCTCTGATTTAAGAACTGCTAGTGAGCAGGAAAGGGGCCAGTTGTTAAGCGTTCGACTGTTATCTGAAAGGTAGCGACCCTATAGAACAGAGTAGAACTGCTCCATAGGGTTTCCAAGGAGCAGCTGGTGGATTCGAACTGCCAGTGTTTTGGTTAGCAGCCAGATGCTTAACCACTGCGCCACCAGGACCCCATCTGAAAGGTACGCGGTTTGAATCCACCTACTGCTCCAAGGGAGAAAAGACCTGATGATCTGCCTAGGAAATCTCATGGGGAAGTACTGCTTTGTCCTTTAGGGTCACTGTGAGTCAGAATTGACTCAGTGGCACACAGCAACAACAATGAGCCAGAGCAAAGGCGATCTAGGCCCCAGTATTCTCAGTGCCCCTCATCCAAGATAGAGCCTCCTTTCCACAAGTGGGGCTGGATGGAAGAAGGGGACCCCCACCTCTCAGCTTCACTGCCCCAGAACTTCACCTCAGGAACAGGTAGCTAGGGTTAGAGTGAGGAAATGTTGACATTCTGCCCCTCTTGCGAAGATAACCCTCTGACTGGGAGCTTGGAGGAGAGGGAGCCCAGTGTTCTTGACTACACTAGTCTGGAGCAGTTTCTGTCTCAGGAAGCTGGGAGGAGGAAAGGAGAGAGAAAGTCTTGGTTCAAATATGATAGACTTGCTGTTTTTACTAAGTTTTATTAGATTTTTTTTGAATGAGTGTTTCTTCATTTGCTGTATGCTTTTAAGACCATTTCCAGAGACTTTAAATGGTTCTTTTCACCAGTTTCTCTGGATAACAGGTTCATGGAGCTCCTCAGACTGGTATGCCAGAAGTGAAACTTTACACCTTGCACTTTTAACTGTGGATTACTGTCCTTTTGGAGTTTTAGAAGAGAATTTTTAAGTGTCTTGAATAACTTAAATTCTTTGCCAGAGGCAGAGCCTGCTAGGGAAAGAACCTGACTTATAGGGTAGATCATAAACTGTCTGAGATTAACACATTTTCATATTAGTTTTGTGTTTAGTGTACAGACCTGTTTTATTTTATTATTAAAAATTTTATAATTTTATTTACAGTTGTGACATGACTATTAAAAAATCTGTTCAGAAAAGCATCTTTTATTTACTTTGATTCCCTTTTACTCTTCCACAGTTATAGCTTGGTGTTTGGGGGTATAATTAATGTTTGGTTTTGGTTTTTGTTAGAGGCAGTAATGAACCAGGAAAAAAGAAACAGCATATCTGTCATATTGAAGGATGTGGAAAAGTGTATGGCAAAACATCTCACCTACGAGCACATCTTCGCTGGCATACTGGAGAAAGACCTTTTGTGTGCAACTGGATGTTTTGTGGCAAAAGATTCACAAGGAGCGATGAGCTTCAGAGACATAGAAGAACCCATACAGGTTAGTTGGTTTATTTCAGGAGTTGTACTTTTTATTTACTTGTTCAGTGTTTTTAGCTATCAGATCAACCATAAGCAAATAAAGTGGGAAGAATTCACTTTAGCAGTTATATGGAAGATGTTTAAGATAAAAAAAATTTTAACTCATTTCTGAGTGACATTTTATTCTTACTTTTTGTAAGTTATTTCAGTATATTTGTATGAGCTGGAATTTATTCCATCTGCTTTCATTGTATTCTTAGCATGTTGAATTCACGTGTTTTTTTTTTTTTTCGGTGTTTGAATAAGGAAAAGAGTTATGATCTTATTGTTGATCTTTATTAGCCCTTTTTTGTTCCCATCTTTTAATGAAACAAACTGGTAAATTTGTCATCCTCTTTGTCCTCCTATCTGTCAAAGACAACAGCTGCCATTAATTTAATGTGTATATTTTTAGTACATTTTTTATACTTTTCTATATATTGTTCGTTGGATATATATGTAAAATGTCTTGTATTATTATATAATTGATACAGTATCATAATTTCATTCATCATTATGTTTTGATATCTATCCAAGTTGAGATATATATATATATATGCATGCATATATGTATTTCTTTTAATTGCTATATACTATTTATCATAGCACTACCACATTGTGTTATTCATTTACCAAACCATTTAGGTTATTGCTAGCTTTTTGGCTATCACAAACTTTGCTGCTGTAAACATAAAGCTGAACATATATAAGAAGTGGAGTTACTGGATAATAGACAAAGTATATGTTTGGTTTTCCTAGATAATGGCCAAATAATTCCTAAAATGGTTGTTGCAGTGTTTGCTCCATAGCAGTGATTGAGAGTTTCCATTTTGCTGTGTGCTCACCAACACTCAGTAATGTCAGACTTAGAATATTTTTATCAGTCTAAAATGGTATCGAGTTGTAATATTGAAGGATTCTATGGGCAAAAAATTCTGTGGGCAGGAAACATGAAAAGAAGATGGAAGGAGGAATACACAGAGTCAGGGTATGAAAAAGAATTGGTCGACGTTCAACCATTTCGTTTCAGGAGGTAGCATATGATCAAGGAAGAATGGTATTAAAGGAAGAAGTCCAAGCTGCACTGAAGGCGTTGGCGAAGAACAGGACTCCAGGAATAGATGGACTACCAATTGAAATGTTTCTACAAATGAATGCAACACTGGAAGCACTCGCTTGTTTATGCTAAGGTTATTTGGAATATAGCTACCTGGCCAGCCAACTGGAAGAGATCCATATTTGTGCCCATTCCAAAGAAAGGTGATCCAACTAAATGCGGAAATTATCAAACAATATCATTAATGTCACACACAAGTAAAACTTTGCTGAAGATTATTGAAAAATAGTTGCAGCAGTACATCAACAGGACACTGCTGGAAGTTTAAGCTGAATTCAGAAGAGGATGTGGAACCAGGGATATCACTGATGATGTCAGATAGATCTTGGCTGAAAGCAGAGAATACCAGAAAGATGTTTACCTGTATTTTATGGATTATGCAGAGGCATTCAACTGTGAATCGTAACAGATTACGGATAACATTGTGAAGAATGGGGAGTCTAGAACACTTAATTGTGCTCATGTAGAACCTGTACATGGACCAAGAGGCAGTCATTCAAAAAGAACAAGGGGATATCGTGTGGTTTAAAATCAGGAAAGGTGTGCATCAGGGTTATATCCTTTTACTCAGTCTGTATGCTAAGCAGATAATCTAAGAAGCTGGATTAAATGAAGAAGAACCACGGCATCAGGATTGGAGGAAGACTCATTAAAGCCTGTGATATGCAGATGGCATAATCTTGCTTGCTGAAAGTGAAGAGGACTTGAAGCATTTACTGATGAAGATCAAAGACTACGCCTTCAGTATGGATTACAGTTCAACGTAAAGAAAATAAAAATCCTCACAACTGGACCAATATGCAACATCGTGATAAATGGAGAAAAGGTTGACATTGTCAAGGATTCCATTTTCCTTCGATCCACAGTCAACACCCACGGAAGCAGCAGTCAAAAAATCAAAGGATGTATTGTATTGGGCAGATCTACTGCAAAAGACTTCTTTAAAGTATTAAAAAACAAAGAGGTCACTTTGAGGCCTTAGGTGCACCTGATCCAAGCCATGAAATTTTCAGTCGCCTCATATGCAGGTGGAAGCTGTAAGATGAATAACGAAGACCAAAGAAGAACCGATGTTTTTAAATTATGGTGTTGATGAAGAATATTGAATATACCATGGACTGCCAGAAGAACGAACAAATTGGTCTTAGAAGTACAGCCAGAATGCTCCTTTGAAGTGAGGATGGCGAGACATGTGGGGCAGAAGGAGAAATAGAACTGGCATTTATTGATCAGCTACCATATATCAGATGGTTCAAATATATTATTTGATTCTAACAACAACACTGTGAGCTAGAAATTAGATCCATTTTAATGCGGAGAAAATGATCCCAGAAAAGAAAAAAATCATTGTTAAATCTATCAAATGTGATAAATATAAAGTTACTTTGTTTGATATAGCTATAATTAGTAACAAATGCATATTGGCATACAATCTCAAACCTTGAGAGTTAGCATCATATTGAAGCTAATTTTATTTAAAACAATTTTTTTTATGGTTTCTATATTAGGTGTTAAACACTGGGTGTGCTAATGCCACTTCATCAATGATATTTTGGCAAATATAATAGGATCAGAAATTAATTCTGTTAACAACGTTGATGTCTATTTTAGAAAAATACTCTGCTGTTTATGTCAGTATTAGAGAATGCAGTATTTCCTTCGACCTGGATTGGCAGTGGGACAGGTTAGCAAAGCCAAGAAAAACTGCTATTTTCTCTTAATTAGAGCCTCATATTTTGATTTCATCATTTTGTTTGAGAAACAATGGGTTTCTAAAGTCTCTGTCACACATCTACATTTATACCTATGTGCAATACACATTTTTATTATTTAAAAGATTTATACACACATATACTCGCGTCACCTTGAAAACTAAGCTGTGCGCAACTCAAGCCATGGTATTTTCAGTCTTCTTATATGTGTGTGAAAGCTGGACAATGAATAAGGAAGACCAGAGAAGAATTCATGCATTTGAATTATGATGTTGGCGAAGAATATTGAATATACCATGGGTTACCAGAAGAAAGAATAAATCTGTCTTGGAGGAGTACAGCCAGAATGTTGCTTAGAAGCTAGGATGGCGAGACTTTGTCTCACGTACTTTGGACATGTTATCAGCAGCGACCAGTCCCTGGAGAAGGACATCATGAGTTGGAACCGACTCAGTGGTTCCTAACAACAACAATACTTCAAAACCAAATTAATGATTTGGGGCATATCTTTTTTCTTTTTATTTTAATGATCCACATCATTATCATTTTCTACTTGGTTGAGTGGAGTCCTTGGCAGTACAAACGGTTAACACGCTTGGCTGTAACCAAAAGGCTGGAGGTTCAAATCTACCCAGAGGTACCTTGGAGGAAAGGCCTGGTGACCTACCAAAAAAATCAGCCATTGAAAATTCTATGGCACATAATTCTACTCTGACAGACATGGGGTTACCATGAGTTGGAATTGACTCAGCTGCAACTGACAACTAGGTTGGATAATTCAGAGTTGAGTGGACTTCAAGCTTACTGTCAGTATTTCAAACATTTTGAATACGTATGTAAAATTATTTAATTAAAACATGTTTAGCTTAAAAAAAATTAAAGTTTATGTCAGTATACTTATAAATGATACTTTTAAAGAATTGACATATTGACTTCTGAAGATTTACTAAAGTTGTAGAAAATAATATGAAACCAAATATCTTTTGAAATAAATAAGCACTGATTAAACGTTTAATACGTTAAGTTGAAACTTTGGCCCTTCACAGCAAAGACCATGTTTTATTCAGTGCCCAAGCACTACAGTTCGTCGAAACTCAATCAGTTACTTACCCACTGCAATCAAGTCAATTCTGACTCATAGCGACCCTATAGGACAGAGTAGAACTACCCTATAGGGTTTCCAAGGCTGTAAATCTTTAGGGAAGCAGACTGCCACATCTTTCTCCTGTGGAGCAGCTGGTGAGTTTGAACCACCTTTTGGTTAGCAGCTCAGCGCTTTAACTACTGTGCCACAAGGGCTTCTTAATGACTTACTATAAATGAATAAATAAGATACTTTTATTTACTAGTGCAAATAATGAAGATTTATTTGCTTTTTAAAAAATAAATTTTAAAAGATTTTCAAAATGATACATGCTTATGGTACTTAAAAATCACATCATATAGAAGTACTTACAGTATTAAAGAGTGGCTCTTTGACCCAGCCTCAGTTCTCGCCAGAATTATATTTAATCTTTAATATTTCAGCATTTTTATTCTTCCTTTGATTGTTGCCGTATATCTAAAAATATGTTTATACTGTTATTTATTGATTTATTAATTTTAGACACTATTAACTTATGAGTCTGAATCAACTCAACAGCAGTGGGTTTTTTTGGTTTTATCAACTTACATTGAGAATTGAGGGCTTAGCTCACTTTGCACCATCTAAAGGCAAAGTTTTTTTTTTAAACTATGTGCAGGCCAGACATTTCTTGACTCACTGCTCTATGATACAGATATTACAATGTCTGCCATTCATCTCCTATCCCTTTTACCTCTCTCACCTAAATTTTACCATCTATCTTCTCTTTCTCATGAGGTTTCTATTACTTACATTCTCTTCAGTAAACACTAAGTTTTTTCTTTATGGCTTAGTTTTTAAAGTGGGGGAAATTAGTAATACTTACAACTAGGTAATGTACTGTGATAACATTTCCTTTCATGTATGGTTTTAGTATTTTATTGAATTTTCTAATTACCTTGCTTTCCTTGCATAGCATAGAAGTAAGTCACTAAGTTCAGTCCAAACTCAGGAGGAGGGGAGTAAAACTCAATCTCCTGGAGGAAGAAGTATCAAATAATTTGTGGACGTATATTAAAGCCACTACC